ACGCACCCTACTCTTGCAGCCGGAGCACCTGCTGAGCCCCGTCTGTCATCTGTAACAAGGGACCGTGCAGCACTGACCTCATAGGTCATAGGTCACAGTAAAAGGGGCCCAGCGGCTCCCTGGCCGCCTCCTCTCCTTCTGGCAGCCACAGACCTCTGCAGGAACCCAGAGCCCACCTGCAGCCTGTGCGAGCCCACCTGCAGCCTGTGCTCAAAACCGGCTGCGCCGATGACAAAGGTGCTGCTGTGGGCAGGTCTGAGCGTGGCACGACCGTCCAGTGCCGGGAGTCTGGATGGTCGGGCTGGACTGGGGGCCCTGCACAGCCCTGCATCAAACTTTCATCCTGCCCGAAGCACCCGACCCCCAAGTACCAGCCAGCCGCCAGCAGGCTCACAGACCCTCCGCCATCACCCCATCCCCTACCCCACTCAGCAGGGACAATGACCACTGCGGACACCTGGCCCTGGCTGGCTGGCGGTGGGGTCCTGGCATGTCAGGACAGCATCACCACCGCCCCCACCCCGTCCGACTTGTCCCTCGGGGAAAGGGTTAACTTGGAGATGCAGCTGGAGTATAAAGACAGCAGCGAGTCTGTGTCTCGGCCTTCCGGAGAACATCTGCCGGCCTCAATCAAACATCTGTCCGCAAGGCATGGGGGCCGGGGGCCAGTGCTGCATGTGTCCAGGCCGCTCCGGCCCCATCTGGGAACAAGAGAGCCAGCTGTGGGCGCAGCCCCTCTCCCATCCCGCAAGCCTCATTCCGAGGCGCCCCCACTATGGGGGTCTCCCTGACAGGTCACGATAGCGACCCAACCATGATTAAAATCGCTCGGGTGAACGCACGGAACTATTGCCCTGAGATAATCTTTAAATCTTAAAACAAAAATATCCCCTGAAGTCTTCTTAAAACCAAATCGTTTAGCTTAGCTAGCAAAGAATGTCTGCCTTGAGCATTGTGCTCTTTTAAGAACTATCTATATGGATCAAATTGACAACAGCAACTCGAAAGATTAGACAGGAACCTTAGGGGGCAGTGAGCTTGTGTTAATGGGGGAGAACAACTCCGAAAAGGAGGCTGAGAATGGCTGTACAACTCGGAGACTGTAATCCACGTCACTGTTGAACTGGTGTGCGTTCTGCTGTGTATATTCTCAACGACAACGATAAAATATCATCAAGGATGTGATGGTGGAAGTGGGGGGCAGAAGCCACACCCATCTGGGCCAGAACCACAAAGCCTGGTACAGAGGTGCCCAGTGAACACGAGGACAAATGGAGACCACGGGAGGAGGCTCTCGACGCGGCCGGGGCACCTTCCTCCCCACGCGCCCTGGTGGGGCCCTCGAGTCTGGCAGGACACCCGGACCTGCAGACTCCCGGCCGGCCCTCAAGCCCTCGGGAGCTGGAGCGTGGGCGTCTGCAGCACGTGAGGGGAGCAGTCAGGAGAGCGGCGACACAGGGCGGACGGAAGGTGCTCCGGTGCGGGTCAGAGGCGGATATTTCACAACCTCCAGTCAGACCCAGGGCCCCCACCCAGGGCCCCCATGAGCCGTGCACACAAGCGCCTCGCTCTCAGAAGACCTCAGCATCAGCCCAGGGTATAACTGCACGGGCGCCTCCGTTTCTGGGCTGGGGGAGGTCATTTTATGTCGTTCCTGGACGCCCCTCTCTGTCTCGAGAAAGATGCCTCGCGGGCACAGGAAGTGATGACGTGTCAGGCCCAAGGGGGCGAGTGGCAGATGCCAGTGGCAGCAGAGTGCCCACAGCCCCGCGCCAGCCCAGCGGTGCCACGCCCTGCCTGGACCCCAGGAGGGGCCCGTGGGGGACATGGGGGGTGGCTCTCTGGACTCGGCCCCAAGGGCATAGCACCCTCATTCACAGCCTTCTCGACAGCAACAAACTGGAAACGACCAGCACGTCCTTCAGTGGGGGCTTGATAAAGCAAAAGAGACGTCTCCTGACGGGGCGACAATCCAGGGCTGGGAGGGAATGAGCAAGGGCTCGCCCACGGACACAGACTGGAGAAAACGCCGCGCCTTGGTGCCGGGGGGCGCGGGGGCAGAACCCTTCCCCCCAACAGTTCCTCTATGTCACAGACCAGCTGCTGACGCACAGGATGAGCCCCTAGCGGGGGTGGGGTGCAATCCCCGCGACCGTGTGAACCTCTCTGCACACCGTGAGCCCCGACAATGAGGTCCTGGGGACCACGCAGGCCAACCTCTCACTGACAGGTGGGGAAACTGAGGCAGAGAAAAGGGACTCAGTCAAAGCCACTACGTGGCTCGGCATCACGGGGCACCTTAGAAAACCTGGATTCGACCAGCACACAGAGGCGCCCCATCCAACACTTACACAGGCCCCTGGGCCAGGGAGGGGCGCCAGGAGGCTGCTCAGTCCCACGAGAGGGTGCGGAGATGTTCCCCAAAGCAAGGCCAGGCCAGGCTGCAGCGGGAGGGGGACTCAGGAACGCGGGGCAGCGCGTGGCCCAGCACTGAAGGATGCACTCTGCCCCGGCCTCCTCGCCTCGCAGCCTCCCTCCCCCAACCCTCTCCCCAGCGCCAGCGATGCCGGCGACGTCATTGCCGATAACCCAGATTTTAACCAAGAAGTAGCACCCCCTTCTCTGCCCCAGTTAGGAGCTAGTCAAACACAAGAACCTCAGCAAGAAAGCCAACGGCCACCCCAAGCTCACCTGCAGACCAGGCCGCTGGACGCAGAGTGGCCACACCCCACACGCCCCACTGACAACCCCCGGACTCACGGCTTCCCACCCCCCGGGAAGGGCCTGGGCCAGGACAGGCAGGGGCAGGAGACTCTGGTGGCCTCATGGCTCCCCACCCCCTCCTCAGAGGCTGTGTCTTGTCTGGGGTGGGGGGCGGCGGGTAGTGTACTGTTGAGAAGGACTTTCATGGGGTGAGGCTCAGGGCAGCACACCCCCGGACCCGCCCTGCACTGCAACCTGTGTTCTGCAAAGCCTCCTCCGGGCCACTGTCTCACTCGGCACTCAGAACAATCACCAAGGCAGGTGAGGCAGGTGGCCAGCTGCACACAGGGCTCCCGGCTCAGCCAGCACCACGGCAGGTGCCCGCGCACATGTTCCCTGCCACCGGCACCCTGTCAGGAGGGCTGCTGCACAGCGAGGACCCAGGTCCAGCCCTGGCTCCACATTCACCCCTGGGCCTGGGCACCCACCTGCTCGGCCTGGCGCTGGGGTAGGGCAGAACCCTCAGGGACTACCTGGTGGCCCGTCAGCTCTGCCCTGGAACTAGAGCCCAGGGAAGCCCCCGGCCTGTGCTCCCTCGGTATGAGGCTGGGGAGCCCCACCAGCCCCCTCTGGCCCAGGCTGGCCCCCCGGGGCAGCGGTCAGCAGGGGCAGAGGAAACTGCATGCCGGCAGATTCCGAGGCCTGGGGGTGGGGCCTGCAGCGCCGTCTGCAGCTCCCAGCGGCGCGGCCTGAGCCCCGGGGGCCTGCTGGGGAGGCCCAGCATCGCTGCAGGTTTCTTGGTGTCAGGAAAACCAAGCCTTCTCACCTCCCACCCCCTAAAGAAGTCCAGCCCAGGCGGAGGTGTCTGACAGAGGCGTCTGCTGCTAGTACTCCGGAATTCACACGAATGTGACAACGGCGATCTGCTCAGCTTACAGACCACAGCCTCGGAACCCCTATGGGGGCACGTCTCCTCTGTCCTATAGAGTCGCTATGAGTCAGAACCGACTCTGGCACACGGGCACCAGCACCCACCCCACCCCCACCCCGCCACCCCATGGCACTTCAATGAGTTTCTGAGCTCCGGAGGCAAAGAACTGCCGGGGTCGGGGAGGGGGAGGGGGCCAGCAGGCATCTCTGCTTGCCCGGAGCCAGGAGGATGGCTCAGGTGGTGGCCTCTCCCTCGGCCTCTGAGGATCAGGCTGCACCAGGGGCCCAGCCCCAGTGGCCAGTCTGCTCCCTGGCCCTGAGGAGGCAGCCCTTGCCAGAGAGGAAGGAGGCCAGGGGAGACGAGGGTGCCAGGCCGAGGCTCCCGCCCCGTCAGGCCCCAGGACATGTTGGGTACAGGGGAGCAGAGCCCCCAACTCTGGGCGCCACTCCCCACCTCGCCCGCTGCCCTTGTCCGATGGGAGCGTCAATCCCTGGGCAGCAGCGTGGGTCCCACACACAAATTAGGGGAGGGACGTGGCCTAGGTGCTCACAGCAACTGTGGGGGCAGCCAGTCCTGGACAGCTACTGCAGGGCCCTCTGCCCAACAAATCCTGAACGGACCGCAGGGTGAACTCAGCCTGTAATGGCGAGAACTCCAACGTAGGGGATCCTGCGGCTCATAGGTCCCAAATGAGGGAATCCCCCAAGTGAGGAACAACTCGGGGCACATGTTCTTGGGCGGCTTCGTTCGGCTCAACGGGCACTTTCTGAGTCCAGCCCCTGTTCGGGGCCGAGGGATGTGACGGTGAATGGGGCCGGTCCAGGGAACTCTGTGGCCTCGCTGAGAGGGCACCCCAGCCGTCGAGCTGGGAAGGTGACCAGGCACCAGTGGGGGAGGGGTGAGGCTAAGAAGCCAGCAGCTTCTGGTGCTGCACGGGGTGCTGGGTGACAGACAGGGAGACCGAGGCCTGGAGTAGGCAAGTAACTGGCTATGGACAGGTCCCTGGACCCCTGAGACCCTCTGTCTCTTCATCCGTTCCATGGGAGCCAGGACTGTGTCCCGTGCACCTCTCAGCGCCTTCCCGTGTTTTCACGCCCCCTCTACCCTTTTCCGGACCCCTCACCTCGTCCAGGGCTGAGTGTGAACTCCTCGGCTCGGCATTCTAGGCCCTGCTTGTCCCCAGGTCTCGGCTCCTGCTACTTCCTTGAGTCTGGGTTGCGGGCTTTCCCTCGTGTCCCCTGCCAGCCCTGCAGCCTCCCCAGCTGTCCCGGCCCCCGAGCGGGGCACTGGGGCCGCACGCCCCGGGGCCCGCACCGGCCTGGCGTCCACCTCCGGCTGGGCCGGGCCCAGGGCAGCCCGCCCTTACCTGCGTAGCTGCCGCCTGACTTGATGTACATCTGGCCGTACTGCTCCTCCACCATGGTGTCGTAGGCCTCGTCGTCCTCCTCGTCCTCCTCATTGTGGTAGGAGGTGGGGCTGTCGGTGGTGGGCAGGCTGCTGGCCCCCGGACTGGTCCTCTCGCCCTGGGCATAGGGCACCGGCTGGATGCTGGGGATGAGGGTGGCCAGGCTGGGCACCCCATAGTAGGAGACGCGGGGCAGTTTGAGGGGGGCTGCCACCGCGGCGCCTGCCGCCACCGCCACGCTGTCCCGGGGCCCCGTCTCCAGCGGGCGCTTGTGGGTTAGGCTGGGGCCGGCAGCCGGCGCCAGCTCCATGGCTTCGTGCTTCACGCGGGTCAGCAGTGGGATGGGCACCGAGGGGGACACGACGTAGGGCGCGGTGGGGGCGGGCTGCAGCTGGTTGCAGGGGCTCTGGGGCGCAGAGCTGGCATCCTCAATCATGGCGGTCTGCGAGTCGCAGTGGGGCGAGCTGACCTTGAACATGAGGTCAGTGCCACGCTCCACGATGTGCTGGATCTGCAGGAAGCCAGCCGTGTACATGACCACGAGCTGCTCGCTGGCCGCCATGGTCAGCTTGCCCGTGTAGCAGAAGGACAGGATCTGCTGGAAGCAGGCGGGCGGCACCGTGCCCGGCAGCTCGAAGGCGCTCTTGCTGTTGCCGCTGAAGAGGTCGCGGAAGTAAAGGCTGCTGGCCGCCAGCACAGCGCGGTGGGCCTTGAAGGCCTGGCCCTTGACCACGATGGATACATCACAGTAGAGGCCCAAGAGGCGCTGCTCATTCAGGCAGCCCAGCACGGTGTTGCCGAAGTTGGGGATCTCGATGTGCAGCATCTGGGACATGGCGGGTGGTGGGCGTGGCGGGCGCCCTCGGACTCTCAGCGCGGGAACAGCCCGACGGGGCTCATCTGCAGAGACAGCAGAGGACACAAGGTCAGAGTCCCGCTGGGCGCTCCTGGGAGTGCCCCCCACTGGGCTACCCTTGAGGACCAACCTCAAAAGCTCTGTCCCCAAGCACCCCTTTCCCGCCTTTACTGCCTGTCCCCACCCCAGCCCCACCCTGGCCAGACCCAGCCCCAGAGAAGGCCCCTCCCAAGTCCTGAGGCCGGGATAAGACGGGGCAAAAAAGAACTACTGCAGAGAATGCCAGAAGACAAGAACCTCACTCCCAGCTGGCCCCCCGAGGCTCCCCAAACTCCCCCTGCCTCTGGGGTGCTGCAAAAGCACCCGCCCCAAGACCATGGGGGGACCGCAAGCCACCCTTGCAGCACAGAAGACAAACAACAGAGGTGTGACCTGCATGAGGACACAGACTGGGGAGGGACAGGAGGGAGCCACTCTGCTCCTCAGAAAAAAGTTAGGGCTGCAAAGGACCCCGAGCTGCTGCTGCCCCAGTGGGCGGGCGGGGGGGGTTCTGCCCTGTGGGGACACCAGCTGACAGCTGCATCCCTGCTGGGGAGAAGGTAGGGCAGGACAGGGGCGCCCAGGGAAGTAGGCTGAAGCAGGAGACCCCAACCGGGCTCCCCAAGGGCTCAGCACCGCGCTTGGACCATCTTGGGTCCCTGAGTCTCTGTTGCCGCCGTGGCCAGGAGTTGGGAGCCTGTCGCAGACACGCACTCGCTGCTCCCCCTCGTCCCTGGCTTCCAACACCCGCCAATCCAATCCCCGCAGGCTCGCTCCAAGCCCAGGTGACTAAACGGGTCACGGGGGCAGGGGAGGGTTGAGGGCACAAGGCACCGTGGAGGGGCGGGCTGGCCTGGCCAGTGCCCCCAGGTCCTGTGCTGTCGATCTGATCCCGGTCTAGGAAGGGGCGGGGGAGGGGACGGGCCGGAGAGGGCACGGCCCAACTCCGGGCAGGCCAGCCGGTGGCCCGTACAAAGGGCTGCTCTGTCCCGCGGAGCGAGTGCGGCGGCCGAGGGCAGTAGCAGGGGTGGGGGGCACAGAGGGTGGGGTCCCTGGTGCGGGACAGGAGCTGGGCAGGTGGGCGAACAGCCGGGAAGGGCCCGCGGGGGCCGCCGTGGAGAAGTTGCCGGCCCGGTGGGTGGCTGCAGCTGGCGGGGGACCTACCTTTGGCTGCTGCTGCCTGCACGACACTGCCCGCCAGACTGCGGGGCCGCTCCGTCCCGAACCGCGGCCGCCCGCCAGTCCGCCCGCCGCTGCTCTGACTGCAGCAAACGGGAGGGCTCGCGGGGCGGGAGGGCGGAGGAGGGCCGGTCCCGCGCGGGCGCCGCTCAGCTGCACCAGCCCGGCTCGCCCAGGCAGCGGACAGCATCCAAATGAAGAGGCCGGATGCAGACGGACATCCAGGCAGCCCTCGCGGATGAATAGCCGCCTTTGATTCGGGCGCTGGAGCAAATGCCAGCTCCCAGCCCGGCTTTCAAAACAGCAGAGTGGCGGTGCCAGAGGCCCGCGCAGCTCGGGTGTTGGTACAAGACAGACTTTTGATGACTCACTGCAATGCAAACAAAGATGGCAGAAATACTGTACTGTACTCGGGGAAATGCTTCGTGGGCCCGGCAGCCCAGCCAGCCTGGAGATTTATAGCACAGCTTTGCATATGAATTACTCCGGAACGGCCTCTCCTGCCACCCAGTACAGCGAGTGTCAAAGCATTTAAACTATTCCAAACAGTCTGCAGGGCGGGCAGCCCCCGCGCGCAACTCCTCTGGGGCGGGCGGCCTGCGGGGACCAGGCGGGGGGCCAGGGCAGACGGGGAGAAGCTGGGGGCACAGCCTGGGAGAGGGGACAGAGGAAGAGGGGGGTGGGCGAGAGGGGACAGAGTAAAAGGAGGATGGGGCAAAGGGGACAGAGGGAGAGAGGGGCAGGCAGAGGGAGGGGGGCAGGCAGAGGGAGAGGGGGGAGAAAAAGAGAGGGGGAGGGGACAGAGGGAGGAGGTGACTGTGGGAGAAGGACTAAGCAGGAAGGAGGCGTCTGCGAGGAGACAGAGGCACAGAAGTGGTTGGGAAGAAGAGTGGCCCCTGGGTGCCAACCATCTCCCCTTCCCCGTGGGGACCCACGACTACTTCCCCTGCCCCCGCCACTGGGCCCAGCGCCTCGGCACCCTCACCCCTCTGTCCCCTCTCCCAGGGCAGCCACCCTCACCCCTCTGTCCCCTCTCCCAGGGCAGCCACCCTCACCCCTCTGGCCCCTCTCCCAGGGCAGCCACCCTC